CCGAAAACTTTGTGCCAAACCAGATGCTGTCGATGCAGTTTTAAACTCTCTATACAGACATAATTGGTATTTAAATTCAACAATTATTCCCCTTGCTCTGTTGGATGATAATTTGTCATTTGAGGAGAAAGCAAACATTGCAAAAGTAATTCCAACTTTTAAAATGCCAATTTCAACTTGGTACAATACTAAAAACAAATCCAAAATAGATATAGAAGATAAAACAAAAATGGGAAACGAAATTAGTGAAAATCCTTCTTCCCTTGCTCTGTTGGTTGACACATTTTCTTATCTTATATATTTGGATTAGAGGAACAAAGGATAAAAGATTGGCTTTCGCTTCCCCCTGAGTATTAGTTTACCTAATCTGTTTTTAAAAATTTCAGAATTTTGCCAAATCTTTAAGTTTAGTGAATGATCATTCAGAAAGATCTGTTAGAATGATGCAGCAATTTGATCACAGACACAGCAATGAGAAAGATAAACAGAATACATTACAAAAAAAAAATTCAAATTTTTATAATTAAACTTCCCCCCTGGACCTGTGAAATCAGCATTTTTTGAGATTTTTGAGAATTTTTTTGAAGATTTTTGAGAAATTTTTTTCTAAAAAAGTGCTTAAGGGGTAAGGATAAAGTGGTCCTGTTGAGCTCAAATTTTTTGGGAGTTATTTTTTTATTGATTGCCCCAAATCTAGAGTGTATGTTATTTTAGATTTGAAAATTTCCTCAAATTGACTACCCCTAATATATATATATATATATATATATATATATATATATATATATATATATATATATATATATATATATATATATATATATATATATATATATATACATATATATATATATATATATATATATATATATATATATATATATATATATATATATATATATATATATATATATATATATATATATATATATATATATATATATATATATATATATATATATATATATATATATATATATATATATATATATATATATATGTATATATATATACATGTATATATATATATATATATATATATATATATATATATATATATATATATATATATATTTATATATATATATATATATATATATATATATATATATATATATATCTTATACTGCTGAGTTAGGTGAGCATGATGACATCATACTGAAATAGCCTGCTGCTGGGGGCTTCAGTACATACATCGACTGACAAATAGCCTGACTCGCAGTGGAGTGTTGCTATATCGACTGAGGATTTTTATGGGTTAGCAACCTTTTCATTTAGTATTCTTCGTTTTCTCTCTTTGTTTTGTAAAATATCTATATCAATTTAGATAAGCAAAAAAATAAAAAAAATAAAAAAATGTATATATATATATATATATATATATATATATATATATATATATATATATATATATATATATATATATATATATATATATATATATATATATATATATATATATTTATATATATATATATGTATATATATATATATATATATGCATTAAAATAGAAAACTTGCATTTGCTAAAAAATATATAAATATGCCGGTATCATTCTGGAGGAAAGTTTTGTGGACTGACAAATCAAATTTTAATCTTGTAAAGTCCGATGGAGCTCAAAAAGTAAGGAGAAAAAAAGCGAAGCATTCACATTTTGCTGTATTCAATGCACAGAAAAGTTTCGTGGAGGCAATGTTATGGTATTGGGATCAATGGCTTGGAATGAAACAGGAATACTTAAACTTTATTGATGGAATTATTGATACTGAGGTTTATGTTAACATTCTCAAAATAAATCCTCTGGCTTTGACTGATTAGGAAAACATTCTTTCTTGCAACAAGATAATGACCCTAAGCATACGTCAAAGAAATCTATAGAGATTTTCAATCCAAAAGCAAATTTAGTTACTTATATGGCCAGTGCAAAGTCTTGATCTCAATCCAATTGAACATCTCTAGGCTATTCTGGATAAAAAATGTTGTAAACAATGTTTGAAAAGAAGAGCTAAAAATCATGCTCCAAAAAGTTTGGATCTGTAAAAATCGAAGAATAGCTGTTTTACGAGCTGAAGAGAATTTTAACCCAAATCTCGAAATGTTGGTTAGACGAGTTGAAAATAATTATCGCTGAAAGGAAGGAATAGGCTTAATCGTGATTTGGGTAATAATCTCCAAAGTGAAAGGTTTAATCGTGATATAGTTATTCGCCGCCAAAGTTAATGCTGCTAGACCTGGAATAATGTATTCTATAGCAAGAAGTAATGCTATTCCAGATTAATTATTTAGGAGAAATGAATCAAATTTTTCAGCACTGTGGTGCTAAAAAATTTCGAGATGCTTTTATGGTAGGGTAGCTTTGCCTATCGGTAGCTTTAAGGTAGCTTTGCCATTGCATTTTTGTCATTTTCACAAACTCTACAGGAATTATTTACAGGGAGTAATGTTGATCGCAATGCTAATGTCAATTTTTTAAAACATTTTCGAAATTATAATGCCTATCTTTCTTATGCTTCTTTTACAGAAAATGTAGTTAAACCAATAAGTCATGGGCCTCCATATTTTAAAATATGTGGTCAGATTTATCATTGTGAATGTAATTTTAGGCAAAATCAAGATATTCCACCAAAATTCTCTTAACTCTATATTTATGATCCACTTGCAGCTGTAAATTTTAGAATGCAACAACATGGCGATAATCTTTGTTTACGTGATTTAAAGTTTCAATTGCAAACTAAAATTACTGAACAAAATTTATTTGCTCTTGCATTTTAAAACATGACTAAAGTAGGAGATGAAGAAATTCGTCAAGCGGCTATAAAAGGTCGCCAATCTTCTATTGTAAAAACTTCTTTACTTGAAGGGGGTGATGTACTTTAAATGTCTTTACTTGAAGTTGCAGTTGTGTTTGTTGGCGAAAATGGTGCTACCCCAACTTCCGCTGAAGCTGTTATTTACCCAAGAGACCATTCTTTACTAAATGTATCAAGTATGTCAGCCAACTTGGATCCTATGATTTATTTTCTCTTTTTTCCTAGAGGTGATGCTGGTTAGCATATTTTGTTAGTGCATAACCCTGAGCGTGCTACTGTGGTTAGAAATCATGTTACTTTATCTCAGTTCTGCAATTATAGACTCTCTGTTAGGCAATTTTTCTGTTCATTGTTTTATGGCAAGAAACTATTTCAGCAATATGCTGTAGATGTATATGTAAAAATGAAAGGCCAGCGTCTCGCTTTTATCAGAAATAACCAAAATAAACTAAGAAGCAAGCAGTATGATGCCTTACATGAACATGTCAGCAACATTGCGAATGAACCTAACGAAATGTAACCAGGGCGAGTTGTTGTTTTGCCATCATCTTATGTAAGAAATCCTAGAGCTTTAAAAGAAAATTTGAAGATGCAATAGCAATTATTGAAAAGTATGGTAAACCAGATTTTTTCATTACTTGTACTTGCAACCCAAAATAGCGTGAAATAATAGAAAATTTATATGCGGGTGAGACTGCGAATGATCGACCTAATTTGGTCGCTCATTTAAAATCAATTTAAATAACCTCGTCGATGATATATTCAAACATGGTGTATTAGACAAAGTTGTAACGCATGTTCAGGTTATTGAGAAAAACGTGGTTAGCCGCATGCCCACATTTTACTTCATTTAGCCAATTATGATAAACTTGAAAAATCACAGGATGTCAATAATTTAATATGTGCTGAAATTCAAGATCCGCTTGTTTATCGTGAATTTTATGATATTATTAAAACATGCATGATTTACGGCCCTTAGGGGAAACTGAATCCTAATTCTCTCTGCATGATAGATGGGGTGTGCAGCAAAAGTTATCCTAAAGATTTTAATGCCAATGCAGTAGTCGTTCACAATGGTTATCCACGATATAGATGTCGTGATGATGGGTTGGTTACCAATGTTAAAGGCAACAATGTAGATAATCGTTGGTTGGTACCTTATAATCCTTGGTTATCTAAGAAATATCAAGCCCACATAATGCTGAAACTTGCATGTCTGAAAAAGGCTGTCAAATATTTGTACAAATACAAATACAAAGAGCATGATTGTGCGAATGTTTTGATAAATGAGCAAGTTATTCACAATGAAATAAAGTGATAGAAACAAGGTGATAGTAAGAATGTATAAAGTTAGTCCAACAGGAAAATTAATTTTTCTTAGACTTTTACTTTTGCAGGCAAAAGGAGCAACATCTTGGGACGATTTGGGTACTGTTAATGAAACAGTTCTTGAAACCTTTTGTAAAGCATGTGTTTTAAAAGGTTTGCAGCAAGATGACACTGATTGGCAGAATACTCTTTCTAAGGCAATTCTAACGCGAATGTGTAAGCAAATTAGACAACTGCTTTTAAATGTTTAAAACTTTTGTAAACCTTACGACCCTTTGCATCTTTGGAACACATACAAAGCTTTTATGATGGAGGATTTTATTCATCACCAAGTTCCATTTATATTAGCTAAACAACCTACTCTTCGTCAAATCGAAAAGATTTATCAAAGCGGTAAAATGCTATCTGATTATAATTTGCCTGTTATTAATGAATTTATAGATTTCAATCGAAAAAATTTAAATGATAATGTTTAGCAATCAATTGACAAAGCTAATAGAGTGAGACCGCTTCTCAACGTCAATCAATTAAATATAAATAATATTGTTCGTGCTGCATTGAACGTGCAACCAAGTGTAGAAAAGCAACATTCTAGATTGTTTTTTATGGATGGACCAGCCGGTAGTGCCAAAATCTTTACGTATAATTATTTGATTGCTAAAACAAGTTGTAGGGGTGTTAAATCTGTTACACCTGCATAGACTGGCATAGCAGCAACTCTTCCTACAAATAGATCTACGCAGCACGGCTTATTCCTCCTGTCTCAATACTGGATAACAGCACACGTAATGTGACTCCTAACTCTATTCAGGGACAATTTTTTAAGGCAAGTTAGTTTGTTTTTCCTTAACGAGACATCCATGATTCCCAAACACGTATTAAATGCAACTGATCAGTTGTTAAAAGTTGTTTGCAATAACAACTTTCCGTTTGGTGGAAAAGTAAATCTTTTTTGTGGTAACTTTAGGCAAATATTGCCTGTTGTGAAAAGAGGAAAATTAGCTGAAATTGTAGAATCATGTATAAAATGTTCTTTACAATGGCATTGGGTGCAGAAATTGACATACTGAAAATATAAGAGTACGTGATGGAGATGAGAGTTTTCCAAATGGCTGTTAAAACTTGGTAGTTAAACAACACCTGTCAAGGAGGAAGTTCCTTATAAAGGATGTATTGAAACACCGGAACAGTGTATTATTATAGAAAACGAATCAGTTGTTGAAAAAATATATGGAGATGCTCAACAAGATGATTATGCTAAACGTGAAATTTTAACACCCTTTAATGTGGATTCATTGTCAATCAATGAAGAAGTGCTTGAACGTCTACATGGAGAGGTAAAAACTTATTTAAGTGTTGATCAATTAGAGGCTGACTATTTTAATAAAATAAATAATTTCCCTGTTGAGTTTTTGAACAGCTTAACTCCTTCAGGTATACCTACTCATTGTTCAAAATTGAAAATTAGTTGTGTATTTACGCTACTTAAAAATTTAGATCTGAAAGCTGGGCTATGTAATGGCACCCGAATGAAAGTTTGTGCTCTCCAAAACATTTTTATTAATGCAGTGGTTTTGACAGTTGTTTCTGAAGGTAAACGTGTATTTGTTCCTAGATATAAGTTGGCTCCGTCGGATTCTAATTTACCTTTTGCTCTCAAACGTCGCCAGTTTCCAGTCCGATTGGCATATTCTATGACAATTAATAAAAGTCAAGGTCAAACGTTTGATAGAGTTGATGTTTCTTTGAAAAAACAATGTTTCTCTCATGGTCAATTATATGTAGCGCGTTCAAGAACATGCGCGTTTAATAGTTTTTAAAGTTGATAAACATCCTTTTCATGGTATGGCAGGTGAAAAATGTTACACAGGTAATGTTATATTTTCGATAATACACAGATGATGTTATATGTTCTTAATTTGTAGTTTTATATTTTTATTTTAACTATTTAAATATTATTTTAATTCTTTAATTTCTTGCTGTACCATACAAAGATATTTTTATTTGTGTTTTTTATTTCAGATCTGTCGTAAGATGTATTTTTAAATTACAGGGAAAGAAAAACAGGATCCATACTTAACAGAGGGTTCTGAATTTATTGAATCATGTCTTATTTTAGTTTTTTATTTTTATTTTATTTGTTTGTTTATTAAACATGTATTTTTGTCATTAAATAATTAGCTTTACTATTGCTGTTTCTTATATATTGTACTTTTTTTTTATTAATTGCTTAAATGATAATATTTTATAGTGTATAGTAATTTAGAAGGTATGTTTTTATGTAAAAGGCATTCATGTTTTGATTAAGCTATTCATTAAATAAAATTTTTCCTTACAAACAATTGAATTTCATCAATCTTTGTATTAATTTCACTAAAATACTCATCAACTGTTTTCCATGCATCTTATTTGCCAGAACAGTTTTTTTTAATGCATTTTTTAATTATAAAGTTGAAGATTTAACTTATGAGTAGTTGCAAACACACAAGGATCAATCAACACAAATAGATATGAAGTCACAGTTTTATTGAATTATTTAGGACTATAAAATCCAAAATTTGTAATGCCATTTGCAATTTTAAACACAATTTAATAACACCAAATCAGTTAATTTAAATTTGTGCTAGTGTATGTGATTTTTGACTATAAATTTTTACAAATAATGACAAAGGCACCTGATGCTGTCGTATCACCTAATTTTTACAAATTGTTTTTGTTACTGGCAAGTCATTTTTTGTTGCCGAAGAACCAGTTTTTGTTACTGGGAAGCCAGTTACTGAGAAAAACCAGTCTTTGATACTTGAAAATAGGATTTTGTTACTGGAAAGCCAGTTGTATCATGACTTTTTAACATTGACTTAACAGTTTTATAGTTTTTATAAATTTGCAGCACTTTTTTTTTGTTGCAAATTTGCTTTTATGTAAAAGTATGTAAGTTTCAAATTTAAAAAGCGATCATAGAAAAAAGTCAAATATCTAATGGTGTGTTTGTGCTATTTCTGTGTCCGTATATACCTACTTAAAATTACCAAACGTTAAATTTGGTCTAAAGGGAAGGGGGGGAGAGTTTTCCATTCTAGAGTTTTCTTTTAAACATAAAAACTAAAATAATATATTTGTTTAATGAAAATTACCTCACAAATTGACAGATGATTTACTACGCATATTTAAAAAAATAATTAACGAAGTTTAATATATGGAAGATCCCTTATCGTTGTTAATGCTGTGCTATTTTGTGTTGATAGACAGCTTGGCTTACCTTTCCGTTGGTGTCTATCGTTATAAACAATTATTAGTTAGTTTTAAGAAATATGATTTTGCTATACTTTTTATTAATTAATTTTCTTATATTTCAATTTGATTTCTTATCTTTTTGTCTTTGCTCTTTAAAATAGATGTCACCAAAATGATAGCAGGTAACCAAAAACAATTAATTCCTTTCCATTTTATTATGTTTTAGTGATTTTTTCTGATACTTCTGTTTTAGTGATATTTTCTGATACTTCCGTTTATATAATAATTATAGCATTTCATAACTTAATTACTATTTTGAGATTTGTTGGATAACGTATGTATGCGATAAGAAAAGAAACAAATTTGACAAGTCTCATTTTTTGTTAAATTGTTAATAAATATGTTATAAAAATTAATTTTAGCTTACTTCGTATTCATCAACAAATTTATGCAACTACTTTAAAAACTAAGTATCTCTGCCTTATATCAAACTGGCTTTTCGCTAGCAGCTTATCTTTAAACACTGATAAAACTAAGTTTTCCTTATTCCATTCTAAACGAAAGTTTCAATCTATTCCAAAATCCTTATCAATGCTATATATAAATAACATCAATATTGAGCGCTCATTCACAAATAAATTATTTGGTATTTTAATAGACAAAAACTTATCCTTGAGAGCTCATATAAATCATATTAGCAATAAAATCTCAAGAAGTATTGGCAGCTTATATAAAACCAGACAAATCTTAGACAAATCTACACTAACTCAACTATATTTTGCATTCATAAATAGTTATTTATCTTATGGCAATAATGTTTGGGGTAGTACAAATAAATCTAAACTCGACTGTCTCCTTAAACAACAGAATCATGCAGCACGCAATATTCATTTTCAAAATCGCTTCACAAATGCTAAACCTCTTCTAAAAAGCATGTGGGCACTTGATATTTATGAGTTAAATATTTTCAAAATTACACAATTTATGTTTCAACATCAGTCAAAAAAAACGCCGATGATTTTTGAAAATATTTTACATAAAACATTAAACCGATACAACACGCGATCTACCGGGAGATTTAAAAAACCTTTCCGTTCATCAAAACTTATGAGCTTTGCCATTTCCTATTTTGGCCCAATGCTATGGAACCATTTTACAAGTCTGAGTGGTAAACTTAAAGAAGCCAATACCTCTCAAAAATTGAAAAAAAACATAATCGAACTTTTGCCAATCATGATTCTTTACATGATTTTTTCTAACAATACACGATTATTTCCAATTTTTACTATCAAAGGTTACTGATGAAAAGACTTTATTTTCTTCAGGTTCTCCGGTCTTGTAACTATTATAAATAATGAAATGTACTTGTATTTAATATATCTAAATATTTTACGGAAATTATCTTTAATTGTAAACGGTTGCTTGACAAAAATTGAAATAAAAAAAATATGACATAAATAAATAATGCTCTTTTGTGTTCTGATTTTCACTGAATTTAAATCACATTCGGTTTAATTAAATGCTCTGCGAGGGAAAGGTTTTCATCAGAAATTATTTTTTTCAAAATATCACAGGGTTTTTGTATATTTATCAAGACTTTAAGTCTTTCCGATTCTCCAAAAGGTTTTCCATACATACAAGTTTAAGTACATATTTGTGTAATTTATTTGATTTTTTAGGGTTTTTTAGACATCACTCAAAATAAAGAAATTTTCAAAAAACAAGGCATAAAACTCAGCTAAAAAACTTAGATGATTTATTCGGGATATTTTTTGTATATTTGAGCAAACAATTTTCAGGATATTTAGAATATGACCTGTATGATCTATGTTTAATATTTTCTGCTTTATTTTTTAGCGCCTTTGCAAGTGAAGTGTTAGGTTTTTTTTAAAACATTCTTTATACCTTAATATTAGTTATATATTTATATATAGTTATAATTAATTACAGTTATACAAATCATTAGTTATAGTTATACATAATGAACTTTTTGAATTGTTGGATTTTTATATTTTATTTTATAATTTAGTATATTATCTCATTTTAATGCAATCAATCCAAGAAATTTGTAAGATTTTGTTTAGTTTTAATTGCAGATTTTGGTTAAAATCTGATTTATTTTAATATATTTAGTATACTTAAATAAAATTATTAAATTTTTTCACTAAATAATTAATTTTTTATTTCACTTTAGTAAATCGTTATGTAAACAAAAAAAACATGTAAGAAAATATAGTTAAAATGATTAAATGATCAAACAAGTTCAATACTTTAGTTACTTAAACAGTTAATTAGTTAATTTTGTTCTTTATAGTAAGAGTAGCAGCAACAACTCTTGGTAAATGTAGATATAAGTATTATCACTATTCTTCAACTTGTATAAATGTGTATATTATTTGTATATTATTCCCATTTCAAATTTGTCACATACCTCAACAACTTCTCAACTGTCACATACCTCAACAACATCCTCAACAACTTCTGCTGCAGTTAATGGTAAGTAGTTAGCAGTTTTGCTCATTATTGTATTTGTGTTATCTTTACATTTACATAAATTGCTCTTTTATAAAAGTGTTATTTCGTTATCATTTATTTTCAATTCAGATTTGTCATACCAGGCTTTTCTGGTTTACAAAGTCAACACAATAGACCCACATTTCATGCACATAGGGCGCATGGGGTGTAGCTCCGAAACAGCGGCAGGGATTAACCTTACCATTTTTTTCATTGGGAGGGTAGTGGTGGTCGCCATAGAAGAAAGCGGCGTGGGAGGGGTGGTATTACATACATCTACAATTAGTATATTGTAGGTTACAATTCTACAAAATACAAATTGTAGATGTATTTTTATATTCTTTGTATTTGTATAATGTGTTTGTAATTATTTTATTAATATTTTTTTTTTTTGTAAATTATGCATCTTTTTCTTTGTAAAGTTTGTTTTTGTAAATTATTTTTTTTTTGTAAATAAAAACCATCTTTTTTGTTTTGGGTTTTCTCCAACACCCTTTCCTCTTCCCTATTCTCCCCTTTCTGCACAAAATCTTTTAATTTAACTTTTCTAACTCTTTGAAGAGTTTTTCCAGGATTTTCCGGAATTCCGGAAATTTAATATCTCAAAACGTATTTAATTTTCCAGAAGTTTTTTGTTATTAATTTGAAAAATATTATATAAAATTTTAAATACGACAACGTTTGCATTTAAACAAATATGCTTTCTATAAATTTCTTTTTAATACATTCAAATTAACTTTTTCGAAAATTAGAAGTTCCTTCTTAATTTATAATTTTTTATTTTAAATTTTTTATTTAACCTTTTATTTTTATTAAAATAATTTTCCAGGATTTTCATAAATTAAAAAACTCACCTATGTTAACTAAATAAAATTAGCCTTTATAAATGGTCTGCTTCTGTTGCTTTCTAGGCGCTCCAAGCATTGGCCTATATTTAGGTAAATGTGTTAAACTATCCAGTCCTAAATACCTGACCCGAAATCTGTATGACCAGGTGTGTTTAACGTTAAAAACGTGTTCTTTGTTATTCACTGTATTTTAACTAACCCGTTTTACAAATTCTTTTTGAATA